TCCAGCTTCCTCTTGGCTGAATTGATGGTCAAGTCATTGAACCCGCCGTCGTTGATGACCAGGGCGGAGGGGAAATATTCCCACCTGCTGTGCGTTGTGAGCGGCTCTTGCAGGTTCTCGGGGAAGTCGAAGTCCTCGGGCCTGGTCACAGAGAAGGCGGTTTGGATAGGGACCGACTCGTCAGATGGTCGGGCATCCTCCTCCGGCTCTCTAGTTTCTTGGGCGTCACGACGGGGAGCATCGTTTCGCCGGTATTGCGCGAGCCTCCCTCCCTTTATGAGGGTTTCGATGGCGTCCTTGAGGTGGACGCAATCCTCAGTCAGATGACCATGGCTCCTATGGTACTGACAATATTTGTTCTTGTCTGCTCCGGGCTTGGCGGGAGCAGGTCGGGGACGTTTGACACCGCCGTCCTTGAAATCAGTGCTGGCACACTCCGCCAGAATGCGCTCACGGGAAGCTGTGAGCGGAGTGTACTCGGTGAAACACCCCGAAGGTCCTCTTTGTTCCCAGACTTCCCGGGGTCTGTCTTCTTTCCTTTTCTCCTCGGTTCGTCGAGGAGGAGCTTCTTGGCGCGAGCTGCTGTTGGGACCACGAGTCCTGGGATCTCGGGCTCTGTTGGCCGCTTCCCTCTCCTCGTAGTCCATGTATGCCCGAGCTTTTTCGAGGATGGCATCGAATGTTCGAGGCGGCTCGATACCCACGGCCTTTCTGAATTCCGTGCCGGGGAGGAACCCTCTCTCCAGCAAATATCTCTTCATATGGTCCGCACATGGGACCTGTATGGCTTCCCGGTTGAAGCGATTGATGAACTCCCTCAAGGTTTCATCCTGTCTTTGGATGATGGCCTCGAGAGCCGCCTCGGTCTTCGGATGTCGCCGAGAAGCTGTGAAGGAACTGATGAACTGGTTCTTCAGGTTCCGCCACGAGGTGATTGAGCCCTGGGCGAGTCCTTTGTACCAGTCCATTGCCGCCTTCCTGAGAGTCGTGGGGAATAGACGGCACTTGATGGGGCCCCCGACATTGTCATAATGAAGCATAGCCTCGAACCCGTCTATGTGGTCGACCGGGTCCGCGACTCCATCGTATTCCTTCAAGTGTGGGGGCTTCTCCATGCCCGGGGGGATGGGTGCTTCCATAATAGCCTGCAACAGGGGACCGCGGGGGTCGTCCTCGTCGCTTCTCTCCGGAGACAGAGATGGGGATCTGTAGTACTGTCTGGCATGACGGTCCAGGTCGTGCTGAGTCTCTCTCGAGCGGGATGCTCGGTGGTTGAATTTCACACGTCCGTCTCCGGAGTGCCTTCTTTCTTGTCTCGCCGGGTCACGACTAGGTTCTCCGGCTTGAATGATGGGCTGCCTCTCCAGATGAGGCCGTTTCTCTTTTGGCCGGGGAGATTGGCTTTGAGAGGTCTCCCTGTAACGTTTCCGCGGGGGAGATGGGTGTCGAGCTTCAGTCACTCGAGGAGGGGGAGTATGGGGTCTCCGATGCCTCTTCGGGGGTCTTCGCTCGTCTTCAAGCGCCCTTAGTCTCTCTCCTTGGGCGAAGATGAGATAGTTCGTTTGATTAATCGCTGCGAACAGCGCTTGAGTTGTGGCATCCGCCCCGGCGGGGACGGGGACTTCCTGGAACTGGACAGCTCTATAGTGTGCGAGGGCCGCCGGTCGTCTTCGAGTGGTGGAGGGACCGAGGAAGATGATGCAGTAGCTCCGTCCCGGTAGGTGGAAGTTCCGGGGGCAGTTGTCGCAGGAACGGTGTTGTGACCGGGGTTGCCGGCGTTATCAAGGTGTCCGTTTTTGTCCGCGGTGCCGTTGTTAGTGTCGACGACGCGGGCGTTCTGCTCATCGCGAGCTTGATCAGCCATGACAGTGGTAGTTGAATTTGAGCTTTGGTCTCTGAGTTTTGCAAGACGGGGAAGCTAGTTTCCCACAGACGGTGCCACTGATCTCACCTGATCAGACTTGGACCGTCACGGCTGGCTCTGAGCTGAAGTTTTGAACGAGGTGGTGGTGGGGGGTACCTGCAAGACACTCCGATGCTGAAGTAAGTAAGAGCACGAGCAGGCAAAGTGTGAGTATATGTGATAGAATGAATACCTGACCCTCTGGAAACAGAGGGTATTTATAGCCCCCAACGCTGGGCCAAGGTTCCTTCATTGGGCCGGGCAGGTTTGGCCCAATGGAGGAACTGTCAGGTTCTACGTGCGTAGTGGGGACCCGCACGTGGTCCCCTTCCTGGATGTCCTGCGTGAAGTGCGGGCGGACAAGGACGCGGTCTTTTCGGGGTCCCGTTGAGAGTGTAGTGGACCGTGTCCGTGTTGGAGGAGTGTTCGAGCTGAGGTCGAGCTGAATAGTACTAGGTCGAAGATGTCGCCCTAGTGACGTATGTCGGGCATAACTATGGTCCTTAGGTCGGCGTGACCCCTAGCAAGTCCGTTCGGATTGGGCCTTTATCGTTGCTCTTGGGCCAGCCCGGCCCAGTCCAGAACAATTATTTTTTCAATGAAAATATAACATGTGTATAATATCTTCTTACACATATGTAAATTACTCCTATTTTCACTCTTTAAATAATATTTAAACATATTTATCACATTTTCATTGAAAAATAATAAGAATCACATTTAAAAAATTATACCTAAATTTTATATTTTAAATTTATGGATGTCAAAAGAATTTATCTTAATTTTAATAGTATTTATTGAATTATATTATTAATATTTAAAATATTAAATAAATATGAAAAAAAATTATATAAAAAGATGAAATTGTGAAGACACGCACAATTGGCAGGTGAGGCCTTATTTTAATCGGCTCTTATTCACAATTCTTTTTTGGTATGAAACGGATAAAGTTTATAAATTTTTTTATTATTACTAGCGTTCAGACGGGTATTCCCGTTTCCGGCTGTCCCTCTTTCTATTGTGCTAACGCGTGTAAAATATAAAGAATAAGTTTATGTATAACATTGATTTTCATTTATCAGTGACAATCTTCTTGTCTTTCACTCTCAACCCATCTCTTTCCCTCTCTCCTTCTCCTTCTCTCTCACATCATACTAAAATATATTAAAAATAAATATTTATCATCATAGAGTTAATTTTTATAATACCTTTTACACAGTCATTCCTTAGATAATTTGATAGATAATAATTTCCTATTGAATGACCGTGTAAGAAGAAAATTCTACAACACACTCTTGTTAATGAATATTTTTAAACACTAATTTTGATTGGTTAAAATTTATTTAGCTCTCACCAATTTATTAGGAAAGTTAGATATGTATTTCCTTATGAGGAAAGTTTTTGTATTTAATTGAGTGAAAAAGTTAAATATGCTTATAATCTTTTTCACATAAGCAAACCTTGTTGTTTACTTTTTTTTTTTTCTTATCCGTTTTTTTTATGTATGTCTATTTCTAAGTATGGAAGTTATACATTGCCTTTAGAAATATGTTACCAAACGAAAGGGTATTTGTGGAATAGGATATAGGTCAGCCTAAAATTTCCAATCTCGATTATAGATAGTTATAGATTTAAAAAATAAAACTTAAGAAAGTTGAAATTAAAAAGAAGAATTCAAAAATGTAAATTGTTGTAAATAATAAACTGAATAATTTTTGCAATGTTCTTCTTTAAAGAGATTTTTTTAATGTAGATTTTCTTTATCTTTCTTCTTTTAAGATTACAAATTTTCTTAATCCTATATAACATGAATGTTAAAAAAATCATGAACAACAAATATAATAAATGGTACAAATACACGTTTATGCTCAATAATGGTGGCGTTTTTAAATAAATAAACGCAATAATTGTTACCTTTATTGATAAAAATATAAATTATCACCCTCATATAAATATAAAAATATATAAACCATCATAAAATACACAAATCATCATAAAATATAAATATATCCTGAGCAAAAATCATCATCAATATTTGACCAATAATTATTAAGTATCTGGCTGCAATTCATGCACACAAAAAATGGTTTATATATTTGTAACAAACAATGGTATAATAAATGGGAACATCTATGCTCTAGGTATACTTGATCCATTTATTTCATTTTAACTTAATGATTGTAATTAAATAAAATTAAGTTAATAAATCAAAATAACAACTGAAACCACATTACATTGCCTTCTTGTTTCTTCTTCTTCTAGCTACATAATTGTCACTACCGATTGCATCCACAACTGCTATCAACGCCAACAACGGTTGGTACCGCCACTATTGATCGTACCGCTTTTTGAGAGAAAAATTTAATGGCTTTAAATATGATATATGCAGAAAACAATTATACAACTTGATACAAATTTTTAATAAATTTTTTGACAGTTATAACCAATGTAATTATGGTAGCAATTTGCCCATAATAGTGGAACACATGATACAAACCACCTAGTAACAATTGTGGATCAATTTAACGATTGTTATAAATGTGATGAAAAATAAACCACTTAGTAACATGGTGGCGGTTTTTGTGCAGTTATCAAATTTATTGTAAGTATACAACTTGTTTTTTTAAATAAAAAATAAATTAAATATAAATTTATTTATTGTAATTAACTTAATGAGAATAAAGGAAAAAAAAAACCTAGTGTGAACATAAGATTCACACTATTTGCCATTTCCCGTACAAGTATTACCATAGTACACGCTAGAGTTACCTTACCCTAGTTAATTTTTATTTTACCATAGTTATCTTTTTACAGAGTTTGTTAGGAAATTTGTAACAAACTATTCTAGAATCTTCTACGCCTATTCTATTAAAATTAAAAATGAAAACTAAATCAAATATTACTTTCGTTTGTATTAAAAAAAAAGCAAATATTTTATTTTGGTTTATAAATATTTGAAATCCGGAAAACAAACACTACTGAGTTATATTTTTCGTAATAACTTTCGTCAGTATATAAATAGTAACGAACCTTATACATCTATTTCATTTACAAAGATTAGAGCAAGAATTGGAGTTGAAAAGCAGTGAGAGAAATCATGAGTCATAGAAATGAGGTGAACTATCCATTTCTTGATATTCTTCTTCCTTCTTTCGCTATTTTCTTCTTCTCTGAAAATAAAATGCAATGCATGTTGATACGTCTTTAGCATTTTTGTTACGTCTTTAGCATTTTTGTTACGATTGAGCCATGATCACTTGTTTGAACACACTAGAGTAGCTTTTAATTTATCTTTTGATTTAGCTTTTGATTTTGATTTTGATTTTGATTTTGATTTTGATTTTTGATTTTGATTTTGATTTTTGATTTTCTAAGGATCTAACAAATTTACAGTTTGTGCTATCAGCTGAAGTAATCTATGGCATTTTAATTTCTATCTTCAACGCAATGCATGATGTAAATTTGTTACCATTTTCATTTGAACACACACACTGAGTTAAACGTATTTTCATACTTCTTGTATCTCCTTTGGCGGTGGTTCTGTGTATTCACCATTACGGCGGTTCCGTGTTTGTTAGCGGCGGTTCCGTGTATTCACCGTTGCGGCAGTTCCGTGTTTGTTAGCGGCGGTTCCGTGTATTCACCGTTGCGGCGGTTCCGTGTATTCACCGTTGCGGCGGTTCCGTGTATTCACCGTTGCGGCGGTTCCGTGTTTGTAAGCGGCGGTTCCGTGTATTCACCATTACGGCGGTTCCGTGTATTCACCGTTGCGGCGGTTCCGTGTATTCACCGTTGCGGCGGTTCCGTGTGCCTAAGCAGTGGTTGTGTATTCACCGACGGCGGTTCCGTAGGTGGTTGTTAATTCACCGACTGCGGTTCTGTGTGTAAGCGGTGGTTCTGAGTTTAATTGATTGGCTTCCCGTCGAAGCTTCTTTTCAGTTTATTTTGATTTGTTAAAAAATTAAAGAATGTCACAAGTAATTTGTTTATTTACTTATAGATAGAAATAAATGTAATTTGTGAGTAATTAATTTTCTTTTATATACTTAGAATTGCTACTATGAATGTTTATTTTTAATTTAACTCAATATTGTGACCTTTAGATGTTAGTTTCTTACACATGCACAATACATATTTGCTCACTCACACACAACTTCTCATTTAATTTTCAATTAACAGTACGCTATACAGTTGGTGACTGTCCAAGCTCCACATGAATTGCTTTGCTTGCTTTTCTTCATTTTTGGAAATCTTCTATATAGTTTTGACAATCATTTGTTAACTCTAAAGTTCTATATCTTATTTGCAGCGTTTTTTTACCCTTCAGTTTGATGGTGCATCCAGAGGAAACCCTGGACAAGCTGGTGCAGGAGCTGTACTGCTTGATGAATATGGGAGTGTGGTATTAAACTAATACAACAATTCAATTAGATTATACTCTTTAACATGTAGCTTACTCTCATGTTTTTTTTCTTTCTCCACAGCTGTATAGTTTCCGCCAAGGGCTGGGATATCAAACAAACAATGTTGCTGAGTATCGCGCGTTAATTTTAGGACTGGAACAAGCGATACTGAAAGGATGTGTGAACATCAATGTCCAAGGAGACTCCCAGCTTGTTATCAATCAGGTTTTTTTTCTTCTTCTATTTTTTTACTATGCATTATCAGCATATAGAAAGACAGAAAGCTTTATTTCATTACTGAAACTTAAATGTCTTTTTGAATGTTGATAACATGAAAGCACAGTCCAATTGTTCATTTAATTTCATATTCCTCCTAACTGGTTTCATATTGTTAAGATTTACCTATTGCTACTTTTCACTTTGTATACATTTTTCTTTTCTAAACAGTTTCAAGGTTCCTGGAAAATTAACAACCCACATCTAAGGAGCTTATGTGATGAAGCTTTGGAGCTGAGGAACAACTTTCGCTCATTTGACATTCAACACATTTCTAGGGTATTTATTTAGTAATTTTGTCTGTAATGTCGCTCCTGTTTCAATTGGGTATTGCTTTATTATGATTTTCACTTGCATGCCTGTCTAAAAATGTTTTAGAAGATATTTCCAAATGCTTGAATAACTAAATTATGTTGAATAGAAGCTCTGCAACCTAGTTATGTTAATAGAGATCACTTGCACCTATGACATTAGGTTCTTAATTATATGAATGTTTACTTTCAGTTCTGACTAAATTATCTCTTTGATTTTTATTTTACAATTCCTTATGTTTTTGCCTCTTAGTTAACAAATAACATGTTTTTGACTAAATTTTTATTGTTTAAAGGACTCTAACAATATAGCTGATGCTCAAGCAAACCGGGCCGTTTATCTCCCAGGTTAGACTTCAAAACTTCAAGACTTTTCTCAGTTTCCTATAGGTTTCAATTAAAGTATGATTCTCTGATTTCCTAGTAATTGAGAATTCCTTTCAATTGCAAATCAAAAAGCATCTTATTTTGTGTTTGGTTTTCTTCAATTGATATATTTTTCTTTAGATAACTTTTTGGAAAACAATATTGTGAACAATCTCTTCATAGCTTGCCACATGATTACATTTTCATATTTGTATTTAGTAAGGAACATAAAATTTAATGGTTTTAAACTTTTTTGCAGAGGGTCAAGTTGAAGAAGATTGTCTCTATTGATGATCATCTTGAAAGCATGCCATTGTCAAAAACTATTGGCACTATGTTACATTTCCGTCTAGTAATTTTGCATGTCAAAAGTCAAATGTTGTTTGCAATATTGTCAATTGGAACATGCCTAGGTGAATAGATGTTCACCATTAACACCTTAAGGACTTAAAGGTGTAGTTGTGATGTTTAAACCTTAGGTTCTTAACTCTGAATTTCTATTTTCAAGTTCTTTTAAGCTTTTTCATATGCGATATTGATGGTCATCATTACTATAAATGTATGATACTATGACCCAAAAGTTACGGTACTTTTAGAACATATAACAACAAAAATTTGGAAACTTGAATTTGCATGACGGTGGAGTGTTTGCATGACGGGGGCTCTCTAGTATGGACAATAACTTGGTTATCATAGAAAAGTTATATAACTTAATGTTAATTTATATTTTCACCTTCAAAAAAAGAAATTTTCTACTTTTACCATTTAAAAAAATTAAATACTTTTAAAACATCTAACATATTCTCCTATCTTTTAATGTATTTTATTTGATTTTGTAATAATCCTTCAATACATTTTTATTTGCAAAACCCCCCCTTAATAAATTAAGAGAAAAAACTAGACAAATACTAAACTCAGTTTTTTAAACATTACCTTACTTAATCTTCAAGAGCCACAAGTACCTTTTTTTTTGGAACATAAATAATGTCCAGAATTAGGTTAGCACATTCTGACTTCCAGGCATTTAAAATTGGTCAGTTGAATCAGTAAACTTGACTTTGCTTCAAATTTAAATATATTGTAATCTTTTGTTAGAGTTGCACTTGATGAATCTTTTAACGTAATGCATAAGATAAATGAAATTACCAATATGTACGTAGTATTGGAAATGTAATTTATTTAATGTTCACAATTCCCAATACTTACTCTTTATTAGGGTCTTTTGGTATTTTCAATTTTTAGTATAAATATGATACCTAGGCCATCAATATTGTATCTCAAATTCATTCCTCTATTTTGAATATTAAGAAGTAGTCCTCTTTGTTATCATTCATTGTTCATCCTTTATCTCTCCTTCCATTACCTTGCACCAACAAATTGGTATCTAGAGCTTTTGGTTCTGTTTTTCCTAAGAAACACGAGTGGTTGTGAGTTGTGTGTTTGAGTTTTGTTCTTTGATTTTCTGTTGAAATCTTGAACAAAATTCTGAACAGAATTTTGATTATGTGGGTTGGGAAAACAGTGTGTTTAAGATTTAAAAATCCGTGCAAGGTTTAAAATGAGTGGAGACGGTAGTTTGAACACTAAACTTCCAGTTTTTAATGGCAAAAACTGGAACAGATGGATGATACAAATGCGTGTACTGTTCGGTGCACAAGATGTTCTGGATCTGGTTACAGATAATTATGTACCAGCTGCAGCAGATGCAACTGAAGAACAAAGAACTGCTGAGAGGTTGATGAGAAAGAGGGACCAGAAAGCTCTGTTCTATATCCATCAGTGTGTGGATGAAAATGTGTTCGAGAAGATTGCTGATTCAACAATGTCTAAAGGGGCGTGAGATTTATTGACGAGATGTTACGGTGGTGACGCATCAGTAAAGAAGGTGAAGCTTCAATCCCTACGAAAACAATATGAGAACCTGAACATGAAGAGCAGTGAGAAAGTTTCTGAATATATCTCCAGAGTGATTCTGATCACTAACGAGATGAAGGCGTGTGGAGAAACTCTGACTGAACAGGTAATCATAGAGAAGATTCTGAGGTCGCTCACTCCTCAGTTTGATTACATTGTTGTTTCTATTGAACATTCTAAAGATCTGGAAACCATGAAAATAGAAGAATTACAAAGCAGCTTAGAAGCACAGGAGTTACGTCTGTCTGAGAGAACTTCTGAGAGAGAAGCTGAGCAAGCTCTGAAGGCTTCTTTTGTCAAGAAAGACCAGAAGCAGAATAGACGTGGTGATAGATTCCAGAAGTCAGAAGCCTCAATTTCTGATGATAAGAAGTATCATAAAGAAAAAGAGAGGTATGACAAAAGGAAGGTTCAATGTTACTCCTGTAAACAATTGAGCCATTTTGCCAGAGATTGTAGGTCAAACAGGGATAGGAAATCAGGAGAAGCATATATGGCTAAGAGAAACTCTGATGATGAACCTGTACTGCTAATGGCCTCTGACTCTGATGGAAAATGCTCAGAAGATTGGTGGTATATGGACACTGGCTGCTCAAATCATTTAATTGGAAACAAACAATGGCTGACAGACTTTGACTCCAGAAGGAGTACAAAGATCAGATGTGCTGACGATAAGTATCTTAATGCAGAAGGTATGGGAGATGTCAGAATTAGAGTGAAGAATGGGAAAGACATTCTGATCAAAGACGTCTGGTATGTTCCTGGTATTAGAAGCAATCTGATGAGCGTAGGTCAGCTGATTGAGAAAGGTTTTTCAGTTGTTATGAAAAACAATCTTCTGACGTTGTATGATTCCAATCAAAAGTTAATTATGAAGTCTGAACAAGGAGGCAACATAACATTCAAGGTGAATGTAGAAACAGCTGAAGCAACGTGCCTTAGTGCAGAAGGTGCTGAAAGTAACAGTAAGTTGTGGCATAAGAGGTTAGGGCACTTAAACTATAGAAGCTTAGGGCATCTATGTTCTAAGAAGCTCGTACGTGGTATTTAGAAAATTGTGAAGCCTGAGAAGTCATGTGAGATATGTATGAAAGGTAAGCAACCTAGATTGCCATTTACATCAGAAGTAGCCCCTAGAGCGAAACATGCTCTGAGAGTAGTACATTCTGATGTGTGTGGACCATTTTCAGTACCTTCACTTGGAGGGAACAATTACTTTGTGTCTTTTGTGGATGAGTTCACAAGAATGACATGGGTAACACTTATCAAGTTCAAGCATGAAGTGTTTACTGAGTTCCAGAAATTCAAGGTGAAGGTTGAGAAGCAGAGTGGTCAGAAGTTAAAAATTCTGAGAACAAATGGTGGAGGTGAGTATAACTCTGCAGTGTTTCAGAAGTTTTGTGAGGAAAGTGGAATAGAACATGAGGTTACTGCTCCATATACTCCTCAGCACAACGGTCTTGCTGAAAGAAGAAACAGAACTCTGCTTGATATGACCAGAATCATGCTGAAAGAGAAAAAGCTACCTCACATGCTATGGGGAGAAGCTGTTGCCACATCAGCATACATTCTGAACAGGTGTCCAACGAAGAAACTGAAGGAAGTTGTTCCTTTAGAGAAATGGACTGGATATAAGCATAGTGTCAGTCATCTGAAGGTGTTTGGCTCTGTCTGTTACAAACATGTTCCAGAAGCTAGAAGACAAAAAATGGATGATAGAAGCAAAATAATGTTACTGGTGGGGTACCACAGTACATGTGCGTATAAGCTTTATTGTCCAAAAACTAATAAAATTAAAATCAGCAGAGACGTTGTGGTGAAAGAGTCTGAAGCATGGGATTGGAACAAATCTCAATCTGGTGTAGTGCCAACACCAAAGTTATCCTCTGAAGATGTTTTAGAAAGATCAGAAGATGAATCTGATTCTGAAGATCCTGAAGATTCTGAAGATGAGTTAGAAGAAGATGATCCAGATACTGATGATGATCCAGAATCTGGTGGTAATCATAGTTCTGAAAGGGAAAACTCTGAAGGTGGTAACTCTGAAAGTAGTAGTTCTGGTGCAACTTCAGAACAAGCTCAAAGACCACAGAGAATCAGACAAAAACTCAGAAGGTTTGCAGATTTTGACATGCTGCAGGATAATGACGTTGACTCTGAAGGAGAAGTCGTTCAGTGTGCCATGTTAGTAGATTCTGAACCAGTGGGCATTGAAGAAGCTCTCAAGAAGAAAGAATGGCTTAATGCCATGAAAGAAGAACTTGAGGTAATAGAAAGGAACAAAACTTGGAAATTGACTAAACTTCCAGATAAGAAAAAAGTCATCAGCGTCAGATGGGTTTTTAAGTTGAAACTTAAGCCAGATGGTTCCACTGGCAAGCACAAAGCTAGACTAGTAGCTAGAGGTTTTCTTCAGAAACCTGGGCTAGATTATTTTGAGGTGTTTGCACCTGTAGCTAGGCATGAAACAATCAGACTGGTGATTGCTTTAGCTGCAAACAGAAACTGGCCTTTAATACACCTGGATGTGAAGTCATCATTTCTGAACGGTCCATTACAGGAAGAAGTTTACGTGTCACAACCTCCTGGATTTGTGAAAAAGAATCAGGAAGGGATGGTATACAAGTTAAATAAGGCTCTGTATGGACTGAAGAAAGCGCCTAGAGCTTGGAATCTGAAAATTGATTCATTTTTCAAGAAACAGAGGTTTCAGAAGTGTGAGATGGAATATGGAGTTTATGTACAACACTCTGATAGCAATATGATTCTGGTGTGTCTCTATGTTGATGACATCTTGCTAACAGGTAGCTGCCCAGAAGATATAAAGAAGTTCAAGGAAGTTCTGATGAATGAGTTCGAGATGACAGATCTAGGAAAAATGACATATTTCCTAGGAATGGAGATTATGTACTCAAAGAAGGGTATCATTCTGCACCAGTTAAAATATGAACAAGAACTTCTGAAGAGATTTAAGCTGCAGAACTGCAAAGTTGCTGTGACACCATCAGAAACCAATCAAAAATTAGATTCTGACTCTGATGGTGATTCTGTTGATTCTACAACCTTCAAACAGATGGTTGGCTCTCTAAGGTATTTATGTAATACTATACCTGACATTTGTTATGCAGTTGGATTGGTCAGCAGATTCATGAGTAATCCCAAGTGGTCTCATTTCCAAGCTGCTGTCAGAATTCTGAGATATATTAAGGGAACTCTAAAATATGGAGTGCTGTTTCCTTCTGAAAGAAAGACAAAGTCAGAGTTAGTAAGTTATTCTGATTCTGACTGGTGCGGAGACAGAGTGGACAGGAGAAGTACCTCTAGATACTTGTTTAAATTTCCGGGAGGTCCCATTTCCTGGAGTTCCAAGAAACAGC